TGGGCATGACGAACCACAAAACATGAGGAAAGATCCTTAGGGGCAGATGCTTTGCTACAGTCCCATGCATGTGTGGGTTTCAAGGAAATGAAGGAAAATTTAAACGTATCCAGGGCGGGAATAAAAAGTGGCTCTCTAGAGACGGAAAGGAGACCCTCATAACATAAAAGAAGTGGCCCAGGCGATTCTCTCGTATGCAATGAGTTGGTTAGTTTCATTAGCAGGTTATGGGGGCGGGGTAATAATTATAAGCTAAGGAAAAGAAAATGCATTGGATGGGCTGGAATAGAATTGCATCCAAAAGAAGAATGGCGGGCTAGGTTTCCTAGACCTTAAAGCTTTTTTCCATGCAATGCTAGCAAAGCAAGGTTGGAGGCTTACAAAGGCTCCGGAGTCATTATGTGCGCGTGTGCTGAAGGCAAAATCTTTCCCAGCTTGTTTTTTTCTTTTTTGGAAGCGAAGAAGTTGGGTTGGGCTCGTGCCCTTCGTTTACATGGGGGAGTCTGCTCAACTCAAGGGTAGGTTCTCAATAAGGGAGTCATCTGTCGCATTGGGAGCGGCTTGTCGGTGAAAATAGGGGATGACCCTTGGTTGCCTATCTCTTGGAACAGGAAGGGTGTCACACCAAGAAGCTTAAATATTTACGAAGAAACATTTTGATGGGAACTAAAAAAGCATCATACCGGAACTTGGAACGAGGAGTTGATCAGAGACAACTTTATTAAAAAAATATGCAGAGATGATATTGAGCTTGCCTTTAAGCAACAGAGTAGATGAGGACTTCCTTGCTTGGCATTACGATCGCCGAGGCCTTTTCTAGGTACGTAGTGCATACTATCGAGATGGAATATAAGCTAAAGATGACAGACCAAGACAAGACACGAATGAGTCCGAAAAGACAGAGTATTAAAAAGGCCTCTTGTTCTAATATTGGAATTCTCCTAATCACTGTGTTCCCTCAATTAAGTAAGGTGCTTTGACCAATGGATATGGATTCATTCCTCAATAAAGGGATAAAGCATGAGCCCAGCCCTACTGCTCTAGCCTACCGCGCAAGGAGAAAGAAGCCACCCACGGATTTCGCATTTTCGCAGTCAGATTCAATTCCACCTTCATCAAAATGGGGTTTAGGCGGCACTCCTCGTTTTACTTCTTCCAATGCTTATAATCACCTTCGTTCTAAGCCTGGTTTTTCGAAAGAAATGTTAGCTCTAACCGCTGTTCCACCTGTTCCTAGGGTGGAACAAAAGGTCGGCTGAAACGGGGGTTTCACGTCTATTTTGTGACGAACAATGAATGTGGTTAGATTCCTGCCAGGTTCTATATCGGGTGAGGGGCGAAGAGTCGTGAACTCCACTTGGTGGCTTTGGAACACTCAAGGAAACGCAACGAGCAAGAACAGGGTTGCTCGAAAGAACAAAAAAGCTTCTATGAGAATTACCATCTTCACCCGATTAATTTGATTTCTCGGGTTCTCATTTTGATTCTTTGTCGTAGGATATCTCGTCGTCTTTCTCTTCTACAACTACGCCTCGCTCTGATTCGATTGCCCATTGCTTTACCTTCCCTGCGAAGGAAATCCGCTCTTTCGCGCTTCTCCTTCCTTCATCTTTATCTTCCTTAAGTGCTCTACTCGAAAGGCAGGAGCTATTGTCCAACTTTCTTTTATTTAATTGAATAGCTCTACCTCCTCGGTTTGGAGAAAGCAAAGCCCCCTACCTCTCCACCTTCGCTTAACAACAAGGATCGCATGGCCGTACCGTTATTAGATTGCTTTTCTTTGTCTGATGAGGATAGTAAAATAGATAGAATATAATAGGTAAGAGTTCAATGGCAAATGCAATCCCTCCTGTGAGAAAGCCTTAACTTAACTTAGAGATGTATTTAAAGTTTTCTTTCTTTTTCTTTGAAGCTTATAGTGTGAAAGCTAGCTTAGGATAGTGTCCCTATAAAGCAAGTGTAATCTGTAGTTCTAGTGCTTCGCTCTTCTATTCCTAATGTCTTTTCCAGTTTTCAAGCGGAAGCAGGACCAGACCAGGCAAGGATGATATCATTATCATAGCGAATAGGGACTCTATGTTGATCTATGGGTATTTTGTAAGATGGGGGCCATGCTTTGCCTTCGAGTTATTTTATTACTTTTCATCAGTTTATTAGGCAAGCTAGCCTATCAATATAGTTTGAGTTCTAGAGTCAACCCATACCAAAAGATAAGGAAGGTTACAGTCCTTCTGCCTTCCATTCAAAAGTAAGAATCCGATCTCCAGGTTCCCTTCGAGCTCGTAGCTTTCTTTTTTTCTGGGCTCTTCTCCATTCTCCAATCCTAGTGCTTCGCCTTTACCTTTAAGTAAGCTAAGCAAGCAAGAGAAATAGACTTAGGCACGCAAGCATGTGAGAAAATTCCTTTTCAAGCTAGGTTACAACAGGGAAAAACAATAAAGAAAAAGAATGAGCTATCCGCCTTTTAAATGTAAATTAAGCCCGCAGACTAGGGGATAGCGTAAAGAGAAAGGGTTAGGGTAAGGAAGGGATCTAGCAAGAGTTATACCCAAGAAAAGCCATCAACATCTAGATGTATCAAGGGCCTAAGCTGGGTCAGTTCCATACTAACCTGTTCCTTCTTCTTGCGAAGAATGAATTACCTAAATCAGCTACTGCTGGGTTAATAATCCACGTGGGAGTTTTCTTCCATCGCATTCTAGTGATCCAGTTTCTGCCTTTCCTGAGGTAGCAGTTGAAAAGGTTTTTGTTTTGCTTTGATTCTGCTTTCTCTTCTTAAGTTTCCATTGATTGCTAGGCCAGCTCTATCCAAACAAGTTTGAAAGCTGGCTCTTTTTCAGCTGTATATTAAGTATTCTCCAATCTCTAGACCCTCCAGCAATCTAGAAGTCTTTTCCCTGCAATCCTAAGTAAGGGCGGGCATCTAGTGCCAGTCTTAAGAGTCAATCCAATTGAAGAAACAAAAATTATGCTTTTTGGGGGAGGACTGCTAGACTATGTTTTCTTTTCTTCCGGTGAAGTGAAGGAAACAATTCAGGGGAAGAATCGAGCTGCAGAAGCAAGGTATATGTCGAAAACAGTTGAAAAAAGGCACAAATGGCGGATTCGGGTCTTCCTTAGCCAGCATGCTTTTAAGAAGTAGTCTAGAAAGAGTGTATTTCCCCCCCAAACCTTCCACCTTTCCCAGATAAGGCTATAGCAAAGTAAGAGATAGATTTTTTTATTTTATATGGATGTCCAACTTCTCCTAGTGCTTGCTCTGGTCCGCCCCTTACCATAGGCATAGGGGAATTTGATAGTACGCGCGCCTTTCTAGTTTGAATTTTTTTGCTAGTTTGCAGTCATCTAGTTCAATTGCTTCTACTTTCTTTTTAAATTCTGCCTTAGAGCGAGTTAAAGCCAGGCTAGTGACACCATTCAAAAGGAATTGAAAGCCAGTAGTTTATCATAAGCCCAAGGCTAAATCTCAGGGGAAGGATTCTCGTTAGCCAGCAAAGGCTACAAAGCGGTGGGAAAGAGCTAAGGCTAAGGATAAAAAGAAAGCTTTTGATATTTTTTTATAGGCTAGCCAGCAAGAGCAACTAGATCAGGAGTTTAATTCATAGGGTTTGCTAGATCTGTAGTGGCATTCCTAGTAGCAGTCTTTCTAGACGTCCCTCTAGTGGCCATTGCTAAGTCCGCAAGTATACCAGTTATACAAAAAACCCTTGCAGCAAAGCCAATTGCAGTGAGAGAGCTCTTTGATTTCCCCAGCTAGTTTGAAAGCGCAGCGATAGCAGGGGAGAGCACTTAAAAAGGGAAATCCCCATTAAAATAGAAGAAAAAAGGTATGAACTTCAACTGGCGAACGCTGTTTGCAGAAAGACGCGTTAACCCTTTCCCATATCAAACCGGGAAGGTAGGAGGGCTGGTTATCTCTACCTTCTGACCTTGCTATCCCTAATACTGACCAAAGCAACTTGGGGTGACAGTCAGTCATTTCCTTGTTTGACATGGCATTGGCAGTGGAAAGGAAAGCTCGAAGAGCGAGGAGAAACAGTAGGTGTAGGTGTAGTAAATCTTTATTAGGGAATCCTTTGTATTGGCTAATCTGTTTTTTCTGGTTTCTGGTTGATTCGCAAGTTCATCTCCTTCTTTCTTTGTGGAAGGAGCAAAAGTGACATATATATAACCCCACGATCAAATGCAGTAAGTAATCCCGGAGCAAATGAACTCAAGAGTGAAGAGCACGGATTGCAGCTGAAATGAATGGAAGGTTTTAGCCGGGGAGTGGAATTCTTTTTTTTATTCTTTTTTATTTAGGCAACTTAATGACAAGCAGCGGACTGCCAAGTCGGAGTGGAATGGGGTAACGCGGACGACCTTACTCCTGCCTCTCCAGTATCCGCTTTGGGTGGGGCAGGCTGACTGCAACGCTCATCGCGCTGCCTTTCCTAATTTTGAAGGGTCTTGACTCATAGATTCAATTCACAGGTATTCGTGGAGCACTAAACGAGATCGAACTCAGTGGATAAAGAATGCTCCCCGAAGTCCTCAACCTTAGTGGCGTACTACATGACTCAATTATTATCAGGCCTATGAGATAGAACGAAGGCTTCTGAGATCGTTAATCTAACTATTGTATTCTATATGTTATTCTTAGGCTTACGAGACAGATCCTAAAGCAATTCTTCCTCCACTTCCCTACAGGTCTCTGTAGCGTATGGAATGGGCAAACGAGGACGACCTTACCGTTTATTCTTTATTTTCATTTTGGTATCTGTTGTGCGAGACAAGCGGACTCTGGCTCCCTCTACACCATTCTCCCCAATTGACACGTCCTGATTTATAGTCCCAAAACGTAAGGGAACAAGGCTCGCCTTCCCCTCTCCCGCTGGTATCCGCAGACAACCGACTGCTGTAAGGAACACGCCCTTTCTCTTTCTAACGAACTGCTCTGATAAGACCATACGCGGGGAAGTGATTTACCGGGATTATTTGGTTCTACTGGAGCAATTGATATGTCGGCAGGGAATATAGGTGACAGCTCACTGGCTCTCGAAGCCCTTTTCCGGGGTAACCAAGTATCATGTTGCATGAATCAATCTTTCTTAGGGTTCCCTAAACAACAATTTTTATTTTCTTACACTATAGTGATTCTTTTTTTTATGGTATAGATTCTAATGCTAGAGGCTTCTGCCATCGGCTTTGTTGCAGTCACGAGCTGCTTCGTTTACTGGAGCGTACTGCCTATTTCATGGCCACCCACAACAGAGGAATGGGAATTCTAATTCTTTTATGTCTCATCTCATGGGTTCCCAATCCAAGTCAGTAGATAAGGGGACGAAAGAACTAGAAAACCCACTTCGTCGGATCGTCCTGATGAAATATAGGACTTTGTTTCCCCGGTCGATGCAGAAAAGTAGTCACGGATCGAGAGCTTCTCTCGCTCCTTGTATTCTATGTACGGCACTGACCGTACTATTTGTACTATATCCAAACCATTTCTATTCACTGATCAGGGACTTCCCGATGAAAACATAAGGATAAGGGGCTTAAGGCGGAGTCAAAAGAGGAGTTCATTCTTTCTTCTCTTGCTCCAGCCCTCTGGGTAAGTTACCGCTGCTGCTGGGGAAAGAAGCTAAGATCAATCAAAGCGGGACAATAGCAAAAGTCATATGATGGCTGCCTATTCCACTTTTAAGACCGGTTAAGAGGTCTAGACGTGCAAAGATATCTCCGAGACGGAAAAGAGACTCCCCCTCTTCTGATCAGGACAACTGGGCTATAGCCAGACTACGTTGGTAATGAATGGATGGAAATTACACGCACTAGAAAACCTAAATTAGTTGATTAAGGCATTTACCGATCTTCGAATACGTGAGGAATTGCCATTGGTTGAGCTACTTTATATACTATTGTCTCAGGTAAGACTTGACTTGACTCCCTTCTTTAATTCTACATTCTTGAATCTGGGCATTTCTCTTTTCATTCGCTTTTCGAGGGCTTCCCTCTCCCGATGGTCGAGCCACTTCGTTTCGTCGACTCAACCATGACTTTCTAGGCATTTTAGTAAAGAGGTCAAGGACAACCTCACTCAAGAAAGCTTTCCTAAAAGAAAGAAATTCTACCACAAGACACATCTTAGGATTGGTATTTCCATTAACGCGATGCCTCAAAAAGTTCTTACCGCTGAAAGAGTAAATTAGTCCGGTACGCTCGCTACACAAGAAAATCAATAAGTTAAGTAAGGGTCTGGTGATTGTCCTTTCCGGCTTTACCTTCTATTTAGGAGTCGCTGCGGGCATCCGGGATCGGTCCCGCTACGCTAAGGCTTGTTTCCCAGAAAAGGTTCATTGATTTGAGATTACATAGGTCATCTCCATAACAAGAGTCAGTAGGAAAGTGAAGGAGTGGCCTTAGTCTATCTCATAGGCCGAGAGCAAGCAAAGCCAAGGACAATCTCGCTCAAAAGAGCAGCAGGAAACATCCACGCGAGGATATTGAACTCGCAGCACCTAATGGAATGCGCCCCTGCGGGCGGAAAACTACCTTAATACAATATATTCTATCTTTTCTTGGGAATACTGCTTATAACAGTGGCACAATGGTTCCTAAAGTAAAGTACGAAAGCCATTCCGTTCGTTACAGTAGTCGGTATCTCCAGGGGAGTCCAGAGCGTGTCAGATTAGTGCATCTCGTTCCAGCGCAAGCTTTCCAAAGTAGAGCATAAAAACCACTTGTTAATTACCAAGTCAAAGGTCAATGGGAAAATGAGAGTTGAGTCTAGTGGCTAACTCATAGACCTAAGAACAATAGATACATACTTGATGAAGCGAGTTGCTAGATAAAGACTTCCAAGCTCTCGGGTAAAGACTTCGGCGCATACAAAATGATCGATCAGAATGCATATCAGTAGCTCCATGGGAATCGGGGGGTCGGTAGATCGCTCCTGCATCCCTTAAAGTTCGCTTTACTTGGTCGAAAAGATCGCAGTGTCAAGTCCGCTCTTGACAAGCAGTCCCTTAGAAAGGATCCGGTAATAGCACTTCCGCTGGCAGCTATCATATATAAGCTATCCGCAGAATCTTAGACTGATGTTTCCCTCTTTTCCACATTGGACACTGGAAGATGGGTTCAATCGACGGGTTGAGTGGTTGTTACCTCGGATCTGTTTCTTTCCAGTACAAGCACTTGATTGTTACTCGTTGGTTCCTTTTTGGGCTTTGCTTGAATCTAAACAACTCGGGAGTGAAAAAGGAGAATTTACCTGCCATTGGACTACGAACAAGAACCTTTTGAGCACACCATTGGTGGTATTAGCCGCAAATAGGATTCGAACCCTACGTCCCCCGTACCCCTTAGATTAGAGTTACCCCAGTGAACTTCCGTTGTTTCCGTTGCGGCCCTGTCGAGACACTGTGTGCCATTCGTTGACCATTGATCCGACCTTTTATAAGAAATTTCTCAATCGATCGTGAAAAAGAGCAACCAACTCTTTAATAATCCACTGATCTAGACTTCATTCGGTTAGTTTAGAGTTGGTGGAACATCCTTCTTTTTAGAAGTATTTGGTCGTTATCCCGACGGGAGAGAAGAGTCAGTTAGCCCGCCTATTTATTCATTTATTCATTTATTGGCGGGAGCATTCCTACCTGTTTGAAAGAGAGCCAAGTCTCGAAAGCAGCCCATTAAATTCGATTATTTTACTTATTTATCCGTTTTTTATCCGCTCCTTTTTCAGCTACCATACCAAGACTAGAGGAGAAGGGCAAGTATTTATATTTGCTTTATGGGATATATAATTGATCTCTTTTTCGTATGTTTTATGATTCGTATATGTAGGGATATGGGCGCCATCCTTCTCAGTTAAATGGACTGCTCTTCTCGCTGTTTCTGACTCAATACGTATAGAATAATTATAGCTAGTCTTCCTACCCCCTTCCCTGGCCGTGGCTGGGGGCGAATCGACGCACTTATTACTTATTCACTTTGGTAAGGGTACCTGGTTTCATAACCGGTGTCTGTGGGTTCGCTTTCCTTGCTTTGGATGTATCCCTCGATCTTACCACTTCCGCATCTGCTACCTCATCAAAAGCAACCGAACTTCCTGACCTTGCCTCTGCTACTACCTCGCTACCTGCTTCCCAATATCAGATAGATTGCATTCCTTCAAGCCCCCTTTCCCAGAAAAATACAGTAATAAAAGGTAAAAGACGGATCCGCGCCTCAATCAGGTCGTGCTCAGTAGTGGTGGGATTCACTAAACCAATAGAAAAGGGCTAAACAAGTCGATCTGCTAGTCCTAAAACGTATTTCTTGTGGTAGGGCTCAGCTCAGGGCGAGAAGCAGGTTTTGAAAAAAAACTCGTCTTTTCAGCAGCCAAGAACATGATATAACACATTCAATCTTTCCGGGAAAATACCCCTCATTGCTCCGTCCCGTTAACGCCTATTATCGAGTGCTAAGCCACTCGCTGAATTACTGCTTGCAGGTCCTGAAGAACGGAAGTCTGATCTTTACATTCATTCTCCTGGGAAGATAGATTATATAATTAGGTAGGTGTACGGCTGCTGACAGGAAAAAGCCGTCCAAGAGGAACGAGAGAAGTGTAGCCTTTTGAGAGTAAAATAGGGTGCCGGGTGGGTGGCTAAGGGTAGCAATGATCGGCTGCGCCTCACCTTGTTATCCGGTAAGTGGAACCCTGGGGACTCCCGTGGATGGCACTTGATGAGGTTTTGACCGCTCATACCTCTTCTCTATTCTGTGTGTGGGCCAAGCTACTTTCTCGTCGATTGAACTGTTTTTAGGGCCCCTTATTGCCCGATTTCATAGGTTTCGCACTGGGCTGGTCTCAAGGTTTTCAATGATTTCCCTGGGGGAAGCACCACTTTTTGCCGTCTTCTCACCTACCTTATAGGATTTTCTATTAGTGGAGATACCTATTTTTATAAGGCTGGATAAAGCTTTTTTCGAATCTCTCTCGTTGACATCGAAATTCAAATTATTCCTAAAATGAGACTGATTCCACGGCCAAATCCGACATATAAAAAGGCCCCTTCGATCTGTCTGATGTGCAGGGGTACTTTAAACGAAAGAAAAACCCCGGCTCGGCAAAGCTTTCCGCGAGTCTTTGTGTTTGGCTAGAAAGCCCAAACCATCGGTAACGAGGAAAGGGGTCAAGCGCAACGGGCGCATCACATCATTCAATCCAAACATCTCTAAAATAAAAGCCAAGATCATATATCACATTAGTATAAAGGATGAGAAAGGTGTGCTTGTTCTCTGTTCATGTAGGTCAGGAAAATGGGAAACATGTGATTCATGATCTATGTTATGTAGGGGTAAAGTTCATCCATCATTCCATTCTGTAACTTCCGAGAGTCAGTCTCAGCCAAGGGAAGAGCCATCATATGAGATGCACCATCTAAGTGAATGAAAAACCAATCTACTTTGATCACCTGGAAGTTCTGTTATTTAATATTTGCCTTCGGGTTGACTTCCATCTGTTCAAAGGGTGTTGGTTTCACCTCTCTCTTCTGCTTCGCCTCGCTTCGGAACTCTATTCTCAAGACTCTGTCTTCAGCACAGCTTCTTTATTCCTCTTAGCTATCGCTTCGGATGAACCATTGGTAACTAGAATTAGCACAAGATAGTTTAAACCTTTAATTTAATGCATGAAGTTGAGAAAGAACATAAGAGAGTTATCGCAAAGCAGCTTGTAGATCAAGAGAGGAAAAACGGGACGGGACGGCTAACCGCTCGAAAGAGGGGGGATCTTTCGATCACTCTGTTAGATCCAAGGCACGTCTTCATCAAGCTCTCGAACAAAGAAGATATGCACCAAAAGAGAGAAGTTTTTGATTGAGGGATTGATGCTTAGGGTTTTCCGCTGGAGCCATGATTTCCGTCTCCGCAATGGTGATCCAATGCATGCGCCTATTTGGGTCTCGCGACCCCATCTGCCTATTGTCTTCTTCTTTGAGTTTTCGCCTCTTTTCTATCGTCTCTTTTTTCGGAATTGGCCTGACCGGTCCTACGAAGCTTGTCTCACGCCCCAACGCAGCTAGGGTTTGTGTAGAAATCGGTCTTCTCTCAAGGCAGTTTACTTGCTTACTTGTTAGAGTAAGGAATTTTTGTTATAGATAATAGATGTCCTTCGCTTCATCTGCACGGTGTAATAAAGCAAGGTAAGAGGAGCATATAAGTCAGGCTGCTTAATTAATGTATAAGACTTAGATCAAGCTAGGGCTCGTTCGCTTAGCAAATCTCTAATTAGTCTTCTCTGGTGTCGGCCACAGTCCAAGAAGTAGTCTTTTCCCCATTTGCTAGCAACAAGAAGAGAGTTAGGGATTCGGCGCTTATAATAAGAGAAATAAATCACGCGGACTCAAGCCAGCAAACAAAAGACTTTTTATAATATATTTTAGGTCGATCACGGATTCAAGCTATAGCAAAGAAGACTTATAGTCGATCCGGGACTGAGATGCAAAGACAGAGGAATATGGTAGAAGGAGTACAACAAGCAATCAAAGGAATGCAGGCGTTGATAAGCGTAGAGGGGCTAGAAAGAGAAGTTAAGGTCGGTAGGCAGAACAGGGGGGGGGGTTTGGGAAAGATAGTAAGTACTTCTTATATCAACCACAGGCTCCCGTGTTTCTTACTTTTTTTGAGTAGTATCCCATTCCTCTATGCCATTCCCGCATTCACTCTATCCGTCCAACAAGCTCTCTCTCCCATTGGTAGGCAGAAGACAGGGGTTTTGGAGGGAACTACTAAAGGTGTGTATAAGCCCTACATACAGTGTATGTGTCCCTCCAGCCCAGCTGAGCTTCGCTATGAACTAATAGACTGAAATTAGCATATAATGAAAGATGGATTATAAGTACGGTGAAACCAGTATCCCAATTGTTAAGTCAACCATAAGGAAATCGGCACACATGAATGACTTTAATTCAATACTTCCCCCGGAAACTCTACAATAATTGGTTTAATCGATCGGTCTGAGGTCTGTGCCCTGTCCACAAAATCCTTTAATGAGATAGATCGGTCCCTGGAATATGTCGTACTCTTCCCGTCCACAAATGACTTTCTTGAATTAGTTCCTCTATCTTTCTTGCCTTGTAGCAGCAAGAAGTACACGTGAATCGATTTCTGTAATTCAATATACCTTCCCTTCGAGATCTCTTTTGAAGGTGCAAAATCTATAAAAAATAGATGTGGAATCCGCTTATGGTATTGGAATTTTTGAAAACATTGGCTCAATCCGTCCACGGTTATTTTATTGTGAATCCTGCCTTCGCCTTTTTGTTAGCAGCTCTTCGATCAACCCAGGAAAGAGTACCAGAGGCCATGTTTTCTAATCCAAAAGGTCACTTTCATGGCTTGAATGGGTCAAGATAGGACCTTTCAAAAGGATCGTTTTTTGGGCTTGATTTTGAAGCGTAGTTTTCCACTCTATTTTCTACTATATATATAACAAGGAGTGGAGCTGGAGAATCTCCCTCCCCGGCTAGGCTACTACGTTTTCTTGTTTGAAATTCCAGGTCTGGTCTTCATTGGTATTTGCTTTTTGCTCACCGACTACGTTTTTTTCTTTTTAGTTCTTCCCCCGCCCGGTCGAGCTGTCTGAGGTCGATGGTGCATCCGGTAAGCTCTTTCGGTATTCATCTCCGGAGCCCGGTCAGATGCTTCAATCCTTCATTCATATTCCGTCTCAATATCTTTCTTTTTTTCAAGTCTATATTGCGAGTTTACAGCTCGAATGTTTGACTAGTCTTCTCCTCCCATGTGATAAATGGGCGGTCTCCCCTAGACCTTATTCCGTCTAAGCTCTCATAGCATTCGTCTTTCTTCCTTCTCTGCTGTACATCTGTATTCTTTCCCTCGCTTTATAGAGATCTTGGCTTTCTGGTTTTTTGTTTCTTTGGTCAGGGGGTGCTGTGGAGAAAGAATTTAGGAAACCAAGCATGTAATAAGCGGAAATCAATACACAGGAAAGGAGTTGTACACGAGTTTGGTAAAGCATTCACCTTTCGGTTGTACATCGACCTGTCGGGAAACTCGAAAGTCTCCCGCAAGCGTCCCTTCTTAGGTCGGCATTTGGCTTTGGCCTTGCTTGTTCGGTTTTGGCTCATTCTTTAATATGTTGTATCTTGCCATGTCTGCTCCGTCTGTTGGTATAACATATATGTCTTCTCTGGCAATAGCCAATCAAGAAGCCAAAGCTGGAGCCAAGCCGGCACACCGGGCGAGGAATCCCTTACTTGTTCGGCTGGCGGATGCCGTTCTTGCTCTTTATGAAGATGCAGATGCAGTATAATACGAAAATTTATAAGCCAAGTTCGGTACACCAAGCCGTTACACAAATCTCTTTGTTTCAAATAGGTTATCCCATATCGGCCGGCCAATCAACAAAGATCTGAAGAATGACCACTTTTTGAGCCTACGAAAGGAAATTCCATTAGAACATATAACAGAGGCGTGAATGGGGGAATACGATACCATAAGGAGGAATTCATAGAACTTCATATTCTACTACCCGAAGGAGGAGGTATATGGCAATAGCCAAGTTTACGATAAAAGAATAGGACAAAGGTATATATTAAAAGTCTGAAGTCAAGGTAGCAAGACGGTATGAAATTGTTACACGAGCAAGCTAAGTCCATTAGAGTTCATTTAGTCGAGCCTTTAAGAGCCATGCGAAAGCAATATCATGAACGTACGAGAGGAAGATGAACATGCTCCAAGTAGGCTTTTTTTCTACTTCTTATATCTTATAGTTATAGTAGCTCCGCGGATCCGCCCTTCGAGCGATGGTATAAGGAAAATGTGTATTCCAGAAAGCACATGAAAGAACGAAATAAAGAACGTACCGAAGGAGCATGGGGTTTCGGGGGGGACTTATGCTTTTATTAAGGTTTAATACTCTTTGTGTTAGGCCCCCCCTATGCTAGTTACTAACTTAGGTACCTAGCCCAGAATCCAGAATCCATCGAAAAAATCAAAGATAGTAATGCATTCTTAGAACAAGCATATCAGCAAATCAGCTACGTTACCCTTTTTCGCTTTCAAGATTTCTATCTTTGTTTCGTTTCGCTTTTTGTTGTTGTTGGTTCCCATTTCATTTTTTGAGATAAATCTTGTTTTTTCTTGCTCTTCTTTTAAATCCTGGTCTTGTTTCAATTGTAGTTCTTCGGTTGAGTTCGTTCTTTTATTCAAATACATCCCATTTCAGGTTAGCTCTCTGCTCGGGATGCATGGGCGTCCGTCCTTCATTCCCATCCTTTATGTTATGTAAAAAGAGACTTCCCCTCCCACTCTCCAATATAGGGGACCTCTATCGAGCATCTCACATCTGTCTGTATCGTCGGTCGTATTTCTTTAGTAAGAGGACGTGTTAAAGCAATAAATATCATAGATCTCAGGCGAGAGGTAGATCCACGTGCGAAAAAATGTGTTATTTCATAGGGGAATGATACCTTACTTAAAATAAGGAATTAGTGGAATATGCCAGAAAGAAAATAGAGGAGCGGGGCGGACATCGGCACGTGCGTGGAGGCTAGGGCAGGTAAGTTCACATAAGGGTCTGAGCTCATATGTCGTACTCTATCATTGGCATGGGCGGCATCGATTCATTCGATTACATTTTACTCTTCAAAATCCATCTATGGATTCCCGGAGCTGGTTACACAAAAATCCACTTTTATTCGATATCCGAGTCGAGCTGGGATAACTTTGATTATATGATATGCCCTCTTTCTGAGCCAAGAAGGCATGTTTTCGCGCTTTCATATAGAGAGGAACCCCCGAGAATATACTTTATTTCACGCCTATAGAAGAAATTGAAAAAAAGTAGAGGATGATGATTTGAATGGGGATTTACAGAAAAATTTCCATTCTTATTTGAGTACCTAGGGAGGGAAGGATCCCGAGCGTAGAACGAGAAGAGTAAAGTAAGAAATAAGAGTTATATTGGCACGTACTGGAAAAATCTATCTTTGTTTGGTCAGTACATCAGCGAAGCCTTTCCCATTTCCTCTTTTTCAAATCATTCTTTTGCCAGTTGTTGTTGGAAACATAGGAAGGCCAGAGGCCCCCTGTATTTAGAATTTCGTATATATGGGCATCCTTATTAGTTTAGTCCAAACTAAACTGGAGTTAAAACTCTGGTAGGGAGGTCATATCTCTGTCTCGAGAAAATGCTTTCTTTTGAGCCGCAGGGTCGAGGGGGTCGTGAGACCCTCGAAAAAGGACTCTCTTATTGGCGTATAAACGGAAAAAAAAATCAATCCAATGCAAGTATGGCTTTCAAGCTTGTCCCCCTGTTGCCTTAAGCCTGGAGACCGGAGGTGCTTGCAGACCGGAGGTCGCGGCTGCTTGCTTTCTAAGGTAAGGTACGAACTAGTGCTGGTAAGTGAACGAACCTGTGAATTCTCGCGGCAGGCGTTCTCGAGGTCTTTGGTCCAGTTCAAGCAAGGGAAGGACAGACTGGACTGTTCCCTCGTGCTTCTCCCTTTAGGGGTGAAAACCTTCCTGACCGGAGTGCCGTTCACTCTACTTCTCCTGGCGGGAAGTACTTGTTCCCTTCACCAACCAATCTTCGGATTCAAAAATCGTATGTATATAAGCATAGAAAGCGCACCGTTTTGATATGGCAGTTGAAAATATATCTGGAGAGTTGCTCACTCCAACGAGCCTAGGCGGCCTAGGTGGACTTTGTCCACTTCCTATCAAAGCTCGAGTCTCCGGACTTGAAGAAAAGAAAACGGTGCCCACGAGACGGCTTATGGTGTTGCACAGGAAAGTCTGCTGGGCAGCAGAAACTCCGTAATTAAGATCCTGAAGCGCTTGCCCGCAAAACCTTAAATTTTGGAAGGTAGGTTGCTTGACATACTGTGACGGTGGCTCCATACGGGATCGATCTTCTTGTCATATTCGTTTAATACCATTCTGACTCAGAAAAATTTCTCTTGCAGTTTTCAAGCCAATCGTTTTCTCGCTCGGAGCTGAATGAAGGTATTTCCTTTGGCTAGACGGAGTGGAGTGACGCGAAGTTCCTTTCAAAAGTCTTTTATTATAGCCTTATTTTTGCTCCTGATTCGTGGGGGGTCGTGGAAGAATTGGGTTCGACTCCCATAGCCCCGATGTGGCGAAAAAGACTGATTCAACGAGATATGCCTTGCCTGCATTAAGATTTAAAACTTGTCGTCTACTTTCAGGAAATGTTCGGAACAGAGAACTTACAATAATACAACGCCGCATTCTCCGAAGATTGAGGAACAAGAAGAGATCTATTAAGAGAAAGATTTATCCGAGAAAAAATCTTAACAGTTACATCCAATCACAAACTACACGAAAGTTGCCCCTTTTTCATGGGGATTTACCCATCACAGAGATGCACAGAGGAACAGAGCGAACTTCATATATCCCTTTTCCACTCAATCCAGAAACAAGATCGGACGTTATTCTGGTTCGTCTCCATTTTTGTGAAACTATTCCTCAAGCAAGGCAGCCGATAAGTCATCGAAGGGTTTGTGTGAATAATGGAATGGTAAGCATTACTCATTTTAAAGTGTCCCACGGTGATTTAATATCTTTTCAAGAAAATGACGCGAGAATCCGCGGTGAAGAAATAAGGAGATCTTTCTATATCGAAATATCAGTTGAAAAAATCATAGGCAAATTCCTGGATCACCCGGTAAGAATGTGGAGAAGAACAAAAACAGAATGGTTCCACCTACTCAAAACTCAGAGGGGATGCCGCCTACTACTAAAATCCCGGTTTTTGCAACAGTTGCGCTCTTCTATGCAAGAAGAAGACTTAGAAAGAACAAAGAAGTTTGGATCCGAAAAAGTATGCTTAGGCAGTTCCTTCGCTGAGCACAACAGAATGAAGAGGAATTTGTATCATTTCAAATCCCTATTCTTATCGAAGAGAAGGAACGAGAAAAACCGAAATCTTCCTACTCGAACAAGAAGTCCTATAGTTTACAACTCTTCTTTATATAGAAATTCGACCTATTGCTCCGCATCCCCCCATCAGTTTACTATGAAGAGAAGAATCAAAAGGATTGAACTACCTACTCATTATTCGGAGGTGAATCATAGAACACCAAAAGCTGTGGTATCTTATGGACCTAACATAGGTCACATCCCTCACGACATAAGATTGAAAGATCTAAACCTTCCTCTTCGGAGCGGAAACGGACGTGGCCAAAACATATAAAGATCGGCGTAGTCGCTCATAGGGACATATCTATCCGGATAGAGGATAGTCTAGATCGATTCATAGATAGATTTCTATCCATATAGATAGGTATCTCCGTGGGTAGAGATAAAGATAGGGATCCATCTAGATCTTGATTCACTATTTCCATTTTTTTTTCTTGATTCTGATTATTGATTGCCTTTTTGTGACGACAAGTTTTAAATCTTAATGCAGGCTGGAAACATCATTTTTCAATTATTACTTGCTGGGTCGGAGCGTAGACGAGCGAGTAGAGCCCAGGAAACAGGGAAGCCCGTCATAGAGCAGTCGACTAGAAGTAGAAGACTGCTGGCCTGAGAGAAGGCGGCCTCTCCCGGGAAACATGGCCCAATTTCTCTTCTTTCTTTTTTATTTCGGGTTTCTTTATTTTTTCAGGGGCCCAGAACGCTAAAGGGTAGGGGAGAAGCAAGCCGAACCTCTGATCGACCTGGACACATAAAAAATTCTCGGCGTCGAGAGATATTTGAGATTCCGTAAGTAACTTAGTGCAACATGGCAAATTTCATTGAGAGGAATCAGCAAAGAAAAGAAAAACGGGTCACAACATATTATTAAGATTTGATCGTTGCATTACTGTATAGAAAAAGAAAAAAGAAATTGCGTATGAAATACGCCCAAAGACTCCCATGCCTTTCTTGGTTGGACCAACCAGATTTCCGAAAAGTCTTTCTGTTAGAGCAAGAAGCGGAACTACAAGTGAATCTTAATAGAAAGCTTATGATGAGCATCTATTTGAGTCGATCATTTCCAAGATCTAATTCAAGTTTTTTCTTATGTAGTGGAAATGCCTTACAATCTGAAGTTTTACGCTTAAGGGAAGAAATGTTCTTGGTGGATGCAGGACCTGGGACCCCCAGAATTTGTATGCAAGATGAGCCTACAGGAGTGCCAATCAACCGAGCCGCCAGGTTTGAGAATAAGGTGGGATCCCTGGATGTAGTGGCCGGTGAATCACTGATCAAAGAGCAGATTTTGGAGAGATTCTTCATCGATGTAGTGGCCGGTGAATCACTGATCAAAGAGCGAGCAGCCGCCAGGTTTAAAAATTTGGTGGGATCCACAGATGTAGTGGCTGGTGAACCGCTTCTTCTTCTTCCGCGAAGATTCAGACAAAACCGAGCTTGGATGGAACTGAACAAGATTTGGCGAACGAATACAAAGGTAAGGGGCTTTTTTATTAAGAAAGTAAAGGGCGGGTATTCAGTAGCCATCGCGGGTTTCCTTACCTTTCTTCCATTCCGTCGAAGAAATTTTTCGAGTGCTCGATTCACCATTGAGAGGATTAACCTCAAAAGGAAAAGGACGAATATTGTGGTGTTACAACAGCGGCGGATCAAACAAGAACTTATTTGTTTCTAGATGAATTTGTTTCAACAACCGATCCTTGTCCGTGCGTGGAAGGAGGAGAGTTGTAGCCGGATCGAACTCCCTTGACCTCTGAAGCGCTTGGACATAGGATTTCCGGCCAGGGTGGTAGCGCTTTTCCAACCAATTCCTCAAAAGGGCTAAAAAGCTCCTCTATCCCTTCAACCTTCTCGGGAGGTGGGATGCCCCATAAGCGCTTTTACCTTTTTTTATACACCTTCCCATCCATCAATGAAAAAATTTCTTATGTAGTATCTAAGGAACTCGACCCCAACTCATCTATCCCGACCGAAGCTGACCGTTGAACCTCCAAAAACAGGACCGGGTGCTCCTGTCTTCTCTTCCCAATGGGAGGAATCACCCTGCTAGGAGCATCTGTAGCGGCATCAGTAACGAGGGAAAGAGAGGCGGAAGGCGCCCCGATAGAGAAGGTGAAACCTTCCAAACTATGAATAAAATCCCTCATTGGATTGGCCAGTAGAACTTCGAAGCTTATCGGGCCTTCTCTTGTAAGCTAGCTCCATTCGATCGATCGCTTCCGTTCGGAATAGATTAGTTGGGAATTGGATGCTCTGCAGTGAAGGGCCTAGCTGCTAAAGCAGTTGATCCACTCGATAGGGCGGGAAACGGATAGAGATGAAGATGCAGAGTCTGATGCGCCTCTCATCCCGGTGAAGAAGAGGTGGGTTTCCTGGGCCCGGTCGGAGCTTCCTATCTCTCATTCGTTCGTTCCCCCTGGAGTAAAGTCATCGGAATCGGGGTTTGGTTCCGGTGGCCTCATATCTCCTACCCAATTTGAAGGTGGGTCAATGGACATTAGATACGTGATAACACTTGTGGTTTCGGTGAATCGCCTTCACTCTCGGGGTTCAGTACCTGCCTCTTGGTGTCCAATACCCAGTGATGGGAGAAGGAGTGGGAGACGAAGAGAGAGAAGATGGTTGCTTAGCAGCGGAAGCTGGGGATCGAGAAGCGGAGGGAGAGCTTAGGCTTGAAATGGAGCTAGGATACCGGTATTTTTCCCTACCTGGATCCGAGTCTTTCTCTTCTCCTGGACCGAGCACCGAGACCGAGGAAAGAGAGGCTGGATACGAGTCTGATGAGATCAGAGCCAGTGAAGAGAAGAGGGAAGGCTGACTCTGCTAGGCTGGCTTGCTTGTTCGACTAGAGCACATAAATAAGGTAGCTTGCTTACTTAGTGCGAAACGCTAAGGCCAATTAAGCAACGTTAATGGACCGTATAGCTCGTTTAGACCGTTAGACACGTTAGGCCTCTTAGCCAAGGTCTTACAGGTATGCCTCGTATGCTCGGTATGAAACTTCTTCCTTATGCCCTTCTTTAGCTATTACGCTCGTTAGCATGTTATTAAAGGAAAGTATTACTGTGATATTCCTATCTATCTCTATCTGGCCAAGGAAAGATCTCTAGTTAGCCCTACTATTATTGGAACTAGGCGGCTATTAGGAGAAGATGATAGACCTATAGATATTATCTTAGAAGCACTCTAAAATGAGAAACTTAACATTAACAAATGAAATATCAGATTAGGGCCTTTACCCTGGCCTGCTCTAGCCCTTTATCTAGCTGGCTTTCCTTCTTTCCCCATCGAAAGCAACTCAAATAAGAGAATAGTCCTAGCCTGCCCCAGCTCTGGATCTTTGCCTTGGCTTGGAAAAGACTGCAGACTTGGGAGATACTAGAGCTTTTGGTACTCACACTATGGTATGGCCAACAGGTCGGGCTGGCAGGCAACTTCCAACGACATGTAAGGCGCCAGCAACTCAAACCCCATGTAAAGATATCCATCTGTTAGCTAGAGCCCTACCAGAGACAGAAAGAAATTTACTGGGTGGTAAACAAAATACCGTTACACCTACCCTTGCCCTTAGCTTGCTTGGTGGAACTTGATTGAATGAGCTGGATTACAGGGAAGGCTCAATCGCTGGAAGGAAAGTCTCACGGGATGTAACAGAAGTCCCACGGGATAGAGGGCAACTCATACTGTAATTGGATAAACTTACCACTTCCACTATATGTATAGCCCTTAGTACTATCAAGAAAAGCATTCTTCGAAACTCGGATGGATATGGATATCGAATGGAAGCACGACTAACACAGGCTTTAAGAAAGACGAAGACTTGCTTTCCTGGCTTGCGTAAGAGAACTGCTTTCTGGCAGGGAACTAGCTAAAAGAGAAGCTCGCCTGGAAACCTCGTATGGGCCACCGGTAACTGGCAATGGTTCGCAGGTAGCAGGACTTTTTTTTAGGATTGTATGGAAGCACTTACCAATGAAACTGGCTGGCTTTAAAATTCCTGCTTTAAATGGAAATACTCCTCCAATCCAAGGTCCAAGGGGCGCAGCGGGAGACAACTAAAAACACTTCTACTCGGTGAGGGACTTATACTTCTCCTGGGGCTATCTACTCCAACTGGATGGCCAATGGCTGGAAATGGGTAGGAGGGAACTGCAACTCAAACCCCAGTAAGGCGGCTATGGCTGCATGAAATATAGGCTAGAAAAAAATAAGAAGTCCTCTTGAGCCACCCACCCTTAGCTTGTTTGGTTTGGACCCTTACGTTCGGTACACTCGTTAGGAAGCGAAGGGCTATAAAAAGGACTGCTTTCCAACTCACTAGCTTTAAAGTAAGGCTCTCCTAATGGCTCGTATTCACCTCTTCCCTCGGCTGGAACTACCACTCAAACTAGATCGCTGACAGAAGGAAGGTAACTATAAGGGCTTAAAACTGGCCTGGTAAGAGACTCCACTCCAATGAGAACTCAAACTGGATCGAATGCAGGGGTTTCCTATTGCAGACTTTGACTAGATGACTCCAACGGGCTTAAAAAAACACTAAAAATGGAGGGGATTATCTTAGCACTGCTTATGAATAGGCAACTACTGGAACTGGACATTAAAGGAAGGGAATCGTGTACTGAGCTAGCCTGCCTTGAACTTGAAGTAGGTAGTCTCTCCTATATCTGATAGCTTTAACTGGCCACTACAAAGAAATTGCCATAGATCGAAACTTATTCCAGGCTTAGTATCCCCCCTATAAAAGAAGACGAGTCATAAAGGCAAATATCTAACAATTTCAGGGGGGCACATCCAAACTGAATAGTACTCGCAGGTTCTCTTTTCCATATGTTCTTCCCGATGCCCTATCCGACAGCCGTTAACCGCCTTGCAGGGAATTCCTTACTCAAAAGTATGAGAGTGCGGCATAGCAAGAGCTTCCTACCTCCTTCTAACGCTTATCTCTTTTCTTGCTTCCTTGCTTTAATCCAATAGGCCGAATTCCTTGCTTGCATCCCTTTGATTGCTTAGTATCTCCTCCTTGCCGCACTCTTCTGGTACAAAGCAAAGGACTGGACTGCAAATTTTTTATATAAAGAAGAGTTCTGTCTTTCTTCATTCAAGTAAGATAGTTTATCGAGAAACCTCCGCCCAAAGGTGCTTTTTTGAAAGCCGGTCACCGGTGGCTAAGAACCTTTCCTCACTCTAGAAGCCTTCAACAAAGGCCACTTGATTTTCTTGTTCGTAAGGGGCGTTGTATATCTATATTGGACTTTCGATTTTGCGTTGTTTTTTTTTCACGAGGTTTTGTATATAATCCAATGTTCAGTGAGATGACTTTCCTACTGACCGAATCGCTTGAGTTAGTTGAAGGAAACGAGGCTTCCGGCCCGGCTGGTCCCACTACTGGCGAGGAGAGTTTTGACTGCGAGAGGCGCGTCTGATGGTATCGTATATAAGATCACGGCTGCATTTAGGAGTGATCTTTCCCTCTTCAACAAGCCGGCGGTGATCTCACTTTCGAAAGAGAGTCTCGACGTGGCGGTATACACGTAGCTCCATAGCGGGGCTAGTCATTGGCTACTGGTTTCTTTCCTACCGGACCGGAGGCGGCCGAGAATGTTATGTCAAAAGGACCGACGACGATGGGAGAAGGAGTAGGAGCGGTATGCTCAAAATAGAATGAGAATGATTACGAGATAGAACGGATCTCCTTGAATTCATTCATCACGTTTTTAACGTGGATAACGAGGCGCTGCCGCAGGCGGCAGATCCACAACATACTGCAACTCACGAGGCGCTGCCGCAGGCGCCAGCACCGGCGGAAGTTGCCCACCCCGCTCCCGATCAAAACGAGCGTGCGGCACTTCTAAGGGACATTCACACTTTGATTCGGGAGCAACTTCGCGAATATTGTGCAAGGGGGAAAGGGGGGCTCGCGCACTCGCCGGAAATGCTGGAACTATACTCCAGTAGCGCGAAGGCAATAATGTCTTACGATCTGGATATCCCCGCGGAGACAGATACGGAAACCCCCCGCAGATGGGTGGGAGAATATAAGGGGGGACCCTAATCTCCTAAAGCCACTCATTAGGGAATACCGGTCAAATTAGTCTGTCTGCCGCTTTCTTTCATAACAGAGCCGTTATTCCCGGCTGGCATAGAAGTCTCTCGTGCGGGCGAAGGAGATGCATTTCTGGTACTGGTGGTACTGGACAAGCTCTCAGGGAATAATCTCTTTCTTATTTCTGCCTTTCTTTCCCATGACGACTAGGAACGGGCAAATCAAAAATTTCACTTTGAATTCCGGACCTCAACATCCTGCTGCTCATGGTGTTTCACGATCAGTATTGGAAATGAACGGAGAAGTGGTGGAACGTGCGGAACCACATATTGGATCACTCCAGTGCGGCACGAAGCCGCTGACGCCGAGTCGGCTCCTATGCCGCTAGCTATGCCCTGCTTGGTCCCCCGGCACGGTGGAGATTCCGTAGCGCGTCATGAGCACCGGGCTAAGGGGCGGTTGAGCAACTCAAGCGAACCGCCCTACCTTACTACAACATAGGGACAGAAGGGAGAAGGTTGTGAAGGTGGCCTCGTTATCCACACCTCCGGTCGGATGAATGGAGGACCGACCGACCCGGGTTTTCACGAGCGTTGGCGGGTCCTGGAGTGCCTGTCAAGGGCGCTAGCGCATACCCCGGGGTGATCATCACCACCTGCACCTCACATCTCGGCGCAGTGGAACGTGTAACCCGCCTGCTGTCTCATTCAACTACATTTGTTCCTGTAATCCATAGCCTAACAGAACGCAGCAGCGAGGGACAACCCGCCCATACAGCCAGCGGGGAGGATGGCACTACTGGCAAAGACCGTCTGGTGAAAACGCCGCAGGCGCGAGGCGTGGTAGGCCTGCGCCGGGGGAGCATAGCATAGGGAGGAAAGGGAGCCGGGACGGTGGAAGAGCCAGGGGAGGCCGGGTCATTTGACGGAAATGGAAGGCTTTTCCCCTATTAGAGAAGGCCCTATGAAGTAAAGGGAAGTGCATGAATTCTTGGAAAAAGAGGGAGCGAGCCTATATAAAAAATGTAAAAAAGTAAATTCAATGAATAGATAGAGTCAACGGTACGACAGACAGCGCTGCCTACACGCGAATTAACTTCCGAGGTCGGGCAGTCTCAATTTCACTACAGGATTTGCGAATGAATGCTGGGCTGGGCCACCTCGAATGGCGTGAGCCGCATGCGGGGAGACCCGCACGTACGGTTTTTAGGGGGATATCTGGTCGAAAGACCGGCCGGCGCCCACCCGACTAGAGGGACTGAGAAATTAATAGAGTACAAAACTTATCTTCAAGCTTTACCTTATTCTGATCGTTCAGAGGGCGATCGCGGAGTCACTGAATGAAGTCCTCCGTTTCTTTCGGAGGTGCTGACCCGCAGCGAGGCAGAGATGACTAAGTGACATATGGAATATGGCGACGACAACAGCATGTCGTAGAAGGAGATAACAGGTGGAGCCAACGACCCACTAAGACTAAAGTATCTACAACTACATCCCCGAGCGGCAGTCAAACGGAGGCGTGAATGCAAGATGCCAGCGGAATGATCGGCCGGACAGAGGCTGGGGCTGCTTCCTTCCCACCGCGTCCTTCCTTGTGTGTCGGAGATATAAAGCGAGCGCACCGGAAAAGAACGGGAACTGGGTCGATCTATTCTATGGCGAAGCATCCGAAGCATAACTGCACACTCACACGATCTTTGCCGAGAGATAGGAGCATTCGGTGGAACCGGTGAACTACACTTGCTTCTGGATAGATGTGTGGGACAGAGGGCTCGTGGTACCTGCTGCCCACCCTTCCTCCTCTGCTTTGAGAACCGTGTGAACGGAGAGTGGGCAGAAGGGAAGGAGGTCCTCATACGGAGTCGCACACTTACTTGAGCAGTGCGGGAGACTGGGGAATGGGTCGAGCAAACTCCCCCTGGGCCGAAAAATTACAGACGAAGCTTTACTTAGATAGGGCTTTGATTTGATTGGTATTGATTTTTTCTTAGTGATTGGAAAGGAGGGCGCCGGGGTATGTTATAGAAAGGGAAGGCGGAGGTAGTACTTCGAATGGCGAAGAGCGGCGGCTCGGCAGGGAAGGAATGGGAAATCGTCAAGGATGACTTCTTTGTTGGCGAAACGAAGGGCTAAATAGCGCCAGTGATTCTCTGAGCCGGTCTGGATTTCCAACGCCTCGGGAAACTGGTCGAGATAGATGACAGCACCCTTTTCCTCTCTTCCTTACTCTAACAAGTAAGCAAGTAAACTACCTTACCGGGAGGGCAATCTTCTCTTATGGCCTTCACCTCCCGCCCGGTGACTAAGAAAGAAATTGGTTTGCGCTTGAATTGAAGTGATGAGGTCGCAAAGCAAAGAGGGAAGCTGGGCTCCTATTGAAACGCTTTCCATCCCTCAAAAGGCGACCTGCTTTCAATACTAGTTGTTACGTTACGCTGCCATTTTTCCAATATCATTGAATAGCATGGCCTGGGGCTAAGGTAACTCAAGTGGGAGAGCCGTGTTATGGGTAACCTTATTGCACGGTTCAGAGAGCACTTGTGTATGTGATGCAAGTGAACGTGTACGAAAAAGCTGTCGTAAAGTTTCGTTGTTCGTTCCGTCGTCGACCCTATCTATGTTTCTATGATGGCCCAAGAACACGCTCATTCTTCAGCCGTAGAGAGACTTTTGAATTGCGAGGTACCATTACGAGCTCAATATATACGAGTGTTATTCCGTGAAATAACTCGAATTTCAAATCATTCACTTGCTTTAACTACTCATGCTATGGATGTGGGAGCATCAACTCCGTTCCTGTGGGCTTTTGAGGAGCGGGAGAAATTGTTGGAATTCTATGAAAGAGTCTCCGGAGCCAGGATGCATGCCAGTTTCATACGACCAGGTGGAGTGGCCCAAGATTTGCCTCTTGGCTTATGTCGAGATATTGATTCCTCCACACAACAATTTGCTTCTCGTATCGACGAATTAGAAGAGATGTCAACCGGCAACCGTATCTGGAAACAACGATTAGTGGATATTGGTA